CTATGACATCTGATTGACAGCACTGGAGTAGTTATCCGCATTACCCGGCATGTGGTATAAACATTTGCCAAGCTCACACTAACTATCCTCCGCTCCTCTTTCAGACGATGACTGGATCTGGAATGATGCTCGTCGCTCAGAACCAGCGGGCCCGACTCAGGACCGCATAAAAGCAGCAAGCAGAGGCGTCAGGCTTCTTCTCCTGAGCTCGTGCTGCAGAAATCAGTAATTTGACAGCCAAGATTTGTTGGGACTGTTGAGACGTTTCACCCTGAGGCCTGCGAGCTGGTGAGATTTAATTTTCTCCATTCTTTCAAGTTCTTTTTATTGTTTATTACTAATTAACATCCCATCTATAATTTAATTTCTGAAACGGGACTCTGGGATCACCAGCCAAAATCAAATATGCAGGCTTAATTGTATTTTTGGGAAGTTTAGTAAACGTGTCCCTAACGGACATATTTTCATGTTAAACACTTGGCTTTGGCTGCCTCTTCCAGAACATTGTAAAGGTTTAAAAGACATAAAACAATCATTTACAAGCAGAACTGACAGGGGATCACATGGTTGCATTATTTCCTGTGCATGATAACTAAACTTATAGGCGTACACGGACGGCTCATCACCGACACCTTGCACATTGTAATGGAGGCAAATGTGTTTCCTTTGCAACTATCAGAGAGAACGGCGAGAACAAATAGCGTCTCCATACTGAGCAGCATACTAATGCAGGACAAATGCATTTCTTTGTCTGAGAAATACAGGCTTTATAATTTACTGCTCTCTGCTAGACAAACTTGTGCAGTAACGATGCTTCTCCGTTTATTGAGAATCCCGGTCTCCATTTAAAAAAAAACGAGGGGGGGGGGGGAGGAAATGCAAATAGGGGGGGGGGGGGGGTGCAAATGCAAATAAAGGGTTTAAACAATTTTGTTTGCCTTTCTAGTGTTACGCAAATGGGCTGTTTAGGAGGAAATTCTCAGAGGAAATTCCCCAGAGCGGTGAGATGATTCCACCGGAGCCGCCGGACTCTCCCTGAGCGCTGTGTGAGTACACATAATAGATGAGCTACAACAATACACTTGCACAGCACTTATTAAAGTACCGTACATTTTTTATCACTTTTATTCCCCCTGAGGTCCACTAATAGCGTTAGTCAAGACCAACTCAAACGCATTATTTCCCCTTGCCATTGTTGCCGTTGGCTGCTTACTGGGACTATTAAAGGGATAGCTCACCCAAAATAAATAAATAATTAATTAACATTATGACTATTTATGACTCGCTCTCAATAACTTTCATGGAACACAAACTGCATGCAATGAGAGTGGATGGGGACCAATTCAAAATAAATGCATCATACGAGTAGTCAATACAATTAATGCACCATATTCCAAGTCATTTGAAGGAATATGATAACTTTATATACTGAACAGAACAATATTTTAAATATTTATTGTCAATCTTGCTTCACAGCTATGGTCACCATTCACTTTCACTGTATGGAAAAGAGCAGCATCTATTCCAATCTGTTTCCATATGTGGAAATAGATGAAGGTGGAGAAATTAATGTAAATGCTTAATTTTTGGTGAAATGTTTTATTCCCTGTAAAGCTGCACTGCTGCAGTAGAACAATATGTATTATGAAAGTGGTGTGATGAATTATTTAAATATGACTGAATCATATGCAGCCAGTGTTGGGAAGGTTACGTTGGAAATGTAATAGGTTACATATTACAAGTTACCCAATAGTGTAACTATTTAAAGGGATAGTTCACCCAAAAATGAAAATGTGTTACCCCCAGGGCATCCAAGATGTTGCTGACTTTGTTTCTTCAGTAGAACACAACGATTTTTAAGTCAAACCGTTGCAGTCTATCAGTCGTATAATGGATGTGAGTGGGAATCACGGCTTTGAGAGTAAAAAAAACATACACAAACAAAACCAAATTAAACCCTGCGGCTCGTGAAAATACATTGATGTGTAAAGACACGAAACGATCGGTCTGTGCAAGAAACTGAACAGTATTTATATTGTTTTTTACCTCTGATTCACGCAATGTCCGAACTGTCCTGAGTGCGTCCTCGACAGCCTCCTCTTCTTCTTCTTCTTGTTTTATGGCGGATCGCAGACTTATAAGTGCATTACCGCCACCTATCTCTCAAATGGACCATTGACACTCTATCTACAATCTCAATTATGAGTGATAATAAATACTGTTCAGTTTCTTGCACAGACCGATCATTTCGTGTCTTTACACTTCAATGTATCGTCACGAGCCGCAGGGTTTAATTTGGTTTTGTTTGTGTATGTTCTTTTGAAATTTCTCAAATTTTTTTTTTTTTGAGTTTCATTTACTCACTATGATGTTGTTCCAAAACATACTTTTTTTTTTTCTGTGAAAACATATTTTGAGAATGGAATGTCTCAGTATGTGGTTACCAACATTCATCAAAATGTATTTTCTGTGTGTTTAGTATGAGAAAGCAAGCCATGCAGGTTTGGAACCATGTAAAGGGTGACTAATATTTTTTATTTAATCTCTTTAAATGATTATGGGTAAGAAATAATCAATAATATCCACATTTACAGTGTAAATGTGAATTGGCTCTGAATAAATTTGTGCCATTTCACCTTCAGCCCCATTTAAATGAGAGCGTGTGCAGTTGTGCATTTCATTATGCGTCTATCCATGTGCGTACAGTAGCATGTATGTCTGCCGTATTGATGTGCATCCAGAGCTTCAGATCATGAGCATCAAATGCCTGTAATGGAATGGCAGACTGATCACAAGCGGCACGCAGACAGAAGAGAAGTGCTGATAGACCACATAAGCACATCCACTTCTGTCATCAGATCTTTAATTGCTGCATCCAGGTGCAAACAGCATGCAATCTGGTTTGTCAATCCCTGTGTTTTGCTCTCTAATTGTATCCCTTTGACAAGCAATTTTGGATTTAAAGAAGATTTAGATAAGAACAAGAGAGAGATGTTGTGTGTGTTCACTGTACATGTTGGTAATCCTCAGCATCACAGCCGAAGAGAGGATGTTTTCAGCTTTGCAATCTATTAAGCATCTCTCTCGCTCACTCTCTACCTCTCACAAAGGAAACAGCAGGTGCTGGGAAAACCGGTGATCAGCGGGTTACAAAGCCCAGCTTCAATCCCCTCCTTTCAGCACTGAGGGTGCAATTCTCCATCGGGGTTGTCTCTCACGGATATCCTCTCAGTTCGCAGCATCACAGCCGAAGAGAGGATGTTTTCAGCTTTGCAATCTATTAAGCATCTCTCTCGCTCACTCTCTACCTCTCACAAAGGAAACAGCAGGTGCTGGGAAAACCGGTGATCAGCGGGTTACAAAGCCCCGCTTCAATCCCCTCCTTTCAGCACTGAGGGTGCAATTCTCCATCGGGGTTGTCTCTCACGGATATCCTCTCAGTTCTTCTGAAATCCGTTCAGCTAAACACCAGTACAATGGACTGCGGGAAGCAATACATCTCACATACACTTAACCACAGCTGTGAGAGAATCAGCGACTATTCAAAAACCATCTAAAATCTTGTTCAAAACAAACCTAGGTGCTGTAAGATGGAATAAAAGTAAAATATGGCATAACATTTCCCTTGAACCTGACAGATAACGCTGAAATGTGTCTTGACTTATCACGTCTGTGACAGTTCCTGTAAACAGCAAAAAGTGGGCGTGGCCAACATCAGCTTTTAGGCAAACAGAAACGCCTGCTCATTATTGGTTAATTTGGAACAGTGGATAAACTAACTTAAAGTAATTGTGCATTTGGTAGTTTTAACACACACTTTCCAGCCAATCAGAATTTAATGTTTTATATGTTTATAAGCATACACTACCATTTAAGTTTGGGTCTGTAAGCTTATTTATTTGTTTGTTTGTTTGTTTGGTATTACTTTTAATACAATGACACATTAATTTGAACAAAAGTGACTTTTTTTTTTTTTTATAAAAAAAAAATGTAGTAATAATAATACATTTTGGCTATTCATTTACATGACAATGATGTTTTGAGGGCCTGAAAACACAAACTTGAAAAGAGATTTCAAGTTTTTGGAAACTACTCTATTGTTGTCCCATTTAAACAACCCAAATATTAATTTGTGAAAGGTTGGTGTCATGCGCATACATATTACATGTTTGTGTAGTATTTCTTTACCTTGCAATCTACTGGCCTGGCATGCATAATACAGCATTTTTAGTCGTTTTCATGAATCTGTTGGAAAAGGGATCGTTCGATTTTTAGTATATTTTTGTTGTGTGACATACCCTTAAAATAATTTCTGAAGGAATATGTGACACTGAAGACTGAAGTAATGGTGCTGAAAGTTCAGCATTGCATCACAGAAATAAATTACATTTTAAAATATATTCAAATAGAAAATAATATATAATAATATTTCAACATTTTACTGTATTTTTTAATCAAATAAATGTAGCCTCGCTGCACATAAGAAACTGACCCAAAACATGTTGTCCTTATATGGGGATTTATATATAAATATATAAAATTATATTGATATATAAATCAAGAACCACATGGGTTCACTGTAATTCTTTCCTGTTACAGTTCTGTGAGAGCCCAGGTGGAGTCTAGCATCCGAAGCACAGGTTTCCTTCTCTCTGTTGAAACGGATGATAGAGTATGTTTTCCTCTTTTCCTCCCACCATTCCCAGGTGTGTATTCCCCCGGCGGTCTTTGTGTGTTTGTGTGTGAGAGCTTTACCTCCCCTGACTGTTGCTTTGTTTAGCTGCATGTACAGTGAGAGCTCCTTACCGCTGTCAGACCCCTCGTCTCCTCCTTGGCCCTTGAAGCCGGCTGGAGGTTTTTTTGTGCTCTCAAGTGTCTCTCCATTGTCAACAGCAGCCTTGATATTCAAATGGGTTACACTGCATTGAAGGGGGTGAGGAAGATAGAGGGCAAGAATGATAAATACACCTTCAGTGGAAAGCACACACGCTCTGTAAAACATGAGGAAGTACTCTAATCACAAAGGTGGGAGAGAAGAGGAACATGAGAGCAGGATGAAAGAGAGGGAACATGACAGCGCCAGTTATAGCGACAACACGGCCGATGGTGGCAAATCTTCACCAGTACCACAGACACCTTTCATTGGCACCTTGTGAGGGAAAAAAATCTCCATGCAGCAAAAAAATCGATGAGAAATAAAAATTCTTCTCACTCCAAAGGTGTCAAAATGTTCAAATGTCTTGCACGTAACCTTAAGATGTTAAAAGTACTCCTAGGCATAGCTATATAGGCATAGTATTCAGTGTCACGACACATACACATACACACATGCCCCAAGCATTTTAATAGTAGCATATAATGGTTTCTGCATAAATATGAAGCAGCACAACTGGTTTCAACATTTACAATAATCAGAAATATTTCTTGAGAAGCAAATCAGTACATTAAAATGATTTCTGAAGGATCATGTGGCACTGAAGACTGGAGTAATGATGCTGAAAATTCAGCTCCGATCACAGGAATAAATTACATTTTACAATTTATTACAATATAAAACAGCTCTTTTAAATTGTAATACAATTTCACAATATTAGTGCTCTCTCTCTCTCTCTCTCTCTCTCTCTCTCTCTCTGTATTTTTGAGCACAGAAATTCAGACTTGGTGAACAGAAGAGACTTCATTAAAAAAATGCAAATATTATAATGTTTCCAAATATTTGCCAGGTACCGTATAAGCAATGTATCACACATAACATGTAAATAAATGTACAGTGACAGTAATTTAGTGTGAAAACTGGCCAAAACACCGTATATAAGTATCACAAATGCATTGTGTTGAATTTCAAGTTTTCAGAACCCATATAATAATGTGAGAAAGAGAGTAAAACTTAGAGTCTTCGTCGCTGAAAATGATCCCGGTCTGTGAATGCAGTCACGTCTCATTCAAAAGATAAATCTGACACGCAATAACCAATGACATTTCACAATCAAAGCTGATGTAACGATTCTTCAGGATTTGGAGCGTTGTGGCGAATGGAAACATTGATCGCTTTGGGGTCTGTTCGTAACACAAAGCAATCATTTAGCCTCAGAAGACTTGGAATATTTGTAATATTTGAATAAACTGTGATTGTACTTGTATGTGCCTGTTATATCATGTGTTTTATAGTATTTGATATTGACAAATGGTTAGGTTTAAGGGTGGGGGTCAGGTTAGATGCTCAAAATGGACTAAATGGTGTAAAGTGTATACACTTTTTGTTGCTGCTGAAATTATGCCCCAATATTTGTCATAATGAAAAACGTTATACCCCAATATATCACGTCATGATGATAAAATAATTATGCAATTCACATCTGTGTATTGACACCAAAGGTTTCTCATTGAAAACAATATAGTTCCTAGTTTGTTGATATAGAGTCTTAAAAGTGATGCCAAAGGTTAACTTGTACTGCATTACCCCCAGCACTGTTTATGATTATGATAATGAATTAAAATAATGCAATAACATATTACTTTGCAACACTTTAGACTGACACAGGAAGTCTTGCACATTCTGTCAGGGGCTGGCGTCTGGTGTTCTCCCTCTCACCACCAGAGGTCGCCATCTCCCATTCCTCCCGGACTCTTTCTCCGTCACCTTGACACCACTCACCTGGGCACCCACTCACACACACACACAGCTGTCGCCCATCCGGGACTCCATCACCTGCACTCCACACACCTGTGCACACACTCACTCTCACACAGCTGTGGCCCGTCACGAGGACTATTTAGGCGCCTTCCCCACGCCACTCGGGGCGGATAACTAATGTTTGGTTGAGTTGTGTCACGAGTTACTGTTTGTTTGTAGTCACGAGGGTTACGAGTTTTCGAGTGTCTGTTCCGGGACTGATGCAAGCCAGAGGTGGCCGTATTGCATCAGTGCCCATTTGCGTGTTCTAGCCTGTTTCAGAGTCTTAGCTCTGTTTATGTTTCTGTTTGTTACCTTTGTTTTCCCTGGCAGTGAATAAAACCTGCATTTGGACCCAAAACCCTTGCTCACACGGTGTGATTCCTGACCGCGCCGTGACACATTCAAGTTAAAATATTTGTGTTCACTCTTACATTAAAAATGGATAACTGAACACTAAAGACTGCGAGCTGACTTTTTCAATGGTTATAAATGATGTAATCCCGCTTCAGAAATAATTCCATTCCTCTACCTTAGTCACTCAAAATCATGCTGGCTGTTGTAGCGAAATACTGGACCTAAATTCATATCCGCCATCCATATATTATATAACTTCCCTATACATGCATCTGGCTCCATATCTACACTACGGTACCCCTCTATAGCTCGGAAGAACCAGCCTGACCGTAGAAAGCTCAGCAACATCCTTAGCTCTTACACCACGGAGTGCTCAAGTGGGTGCAAGAATGTCTTAGCATCTTTGTGTGTGCGTGTGCATCTCTCCGTCGTAGCCCGTACAGCACATGACAGAGATGTGCGACACGCTTTCTCAAAAGACGCTGCAAAACATCTCTAACATAATGAGTTTTTAATTAAGTCCCCATGCTTTATCGGGTTTTACAAAGGAGGACCTCGGGAAGCCACCTCCAATGTGCTTTAATGAATTGTTTGGAGAATTTTGCAGAGCCATGCTGATAAAGTTTTTCACACAATACAGTCCCCATCTCTGCACTGACTTTCCAGGGTCTTACAAACACTTCCACTCCTCTGCATCCCTAAAGAAAAGCACCAAAATTCATTATTGATGTCACAGCATTTGTTATTGTATTAGCTCTGGTTTGTCACACCAGGAAAACAGAGCAGTCTTTCTTGTGTGCAGTGAAGCAGACAGTATACCTCCTAATGGAATAAGAGTATATTGAGTACCTCTGCATTTCCTTGGGGCAAGTCAACCTTAATGCGAGCACTAAAGAAACATTGGGAAAGACAAGAAAGGTAGAAAGAAACAAAAATGCAGAAGGACAATATGAACAGATACTATCTGAATGTGCTCGTTTTTAAAATGCAGCTCCGTGTCTTCTTTATATATATATATATATATATATATATTACAGCATATAAGTATTTCAAATGTATTTATTTCACTGCTTTTGCATCATTCTCACTTCGTACATGGTTGAAACAAGTTCTGCTAACAGTTCTCTTCGGATTAGTCCTCCCAAGGCAGGCGTCTAGGGCCAGTATGAGCAATGTTTTCAAGCGATGGAGTTAGTTTGCACTTTGTTGGCTGAAAATTTAATCTATCTCCTGCCTTGCGGTTTGATCCACCTCTTGCCCTGGGAGAGGCCGATCTCATCTCTAATTCTTCACCAGGAAAGGTCTGCCCCCTACCCAGGTCCGATCTTTGTGTGCGATCCGGACCTCCTTGATATGGATCCCGTGTGTCCACCGCCTTATGTTCCTCCAGAGCTGGCGCGTTTGAAGCGAGCTCTCGGTACGACCGCTCTACACGCTGTGAAAAGTTACTTATTGATTTACAAAGAAGAGAAGCCTTAGGCAAAGTTTAGGTAAAGGCTACGTTTAGTTATTGCGATATGTGGCGATATATGCTTGCAGTCTTCAGGCAGTTTCTCCAGCCTGGGTCTGCATGCACAGCGTCCCAGTATGCTCCATGATAACATATACATGTGATGGTAAACTCAGCGGTAATTATTTCAGAAGGCCTAGAACAAGTAGTGCAGTAATCCATCATTTTCATTCTCCTCCCCTATTTCGATCACTATTTTTTAAGTTTCGTAACAAGCGGAATGAAATGGGTTTCGCTCAGGCCTCACACTTTGCAAGTCGCAGACTTTCATTTTGTACATCGTGCACTTTTTAAAAGCCTTGTTACTTTCGCCACGGGACTCTGTAGTAGCGCTACAAAGCTCCGGCAGCACTTTACACGAGGTATGAGGATGGGAATGCTGGCCCATGATTCCCTGCTGTTCCCTCTGTCGGCCGACTAAAGACAGGGCACTGAGATTCAGAAGACCGCCTTCCCTGTGTGACATCTCTGCATAGAGACATTAAAGGTCTGGGCTTTTGAGTTGTTCCTCTCTTGCCTCCTCTCTTGATCAGACATCTATGTTTGCCAGAGGGACAGTGGGAAGCCATCGCCATCTCTTTTTGCAGCAAACCTGGTAGTGGGGTACAGGTCCACGTGGAGGTGTCTAATGAGAGACACAGGGAGCGTGGGAGAACAGCAGGCTCACTCGCTGGAGGGGTCTACACCAAAGGCCAAGACTACAGAGGAGCTGACAGTGAGAAACAACTGTGGTGGAAGCAGAAAAAATGGGCAGATGGACAGAGAGCAAATCCTCAGCGATCTCCAGGGATGAAAACAAGGACTTGGGAAGAAACCAGAGCAAGTGGAAGGTGATAAATATATAATCACCTTCTCTGATTGAAATGAGTGTTGAGAGGGCTGTCTTAAAAGATGCAACAGTAAGTGCAAGCAATTTAGTAATTTAGTAATCTCATTTAATGCTATTTTCTTGATATGTAAAGTTATTATTTAGAGTTAATATTAAAATCAAAAGTTGTATATGATAATATTATTTAATGAACCTGGATTAACATGAACTAACAGTGAACAGTTTACATTACTAAAGATAAAAAAAAAAAATACTGTAACACACGTATCATTTAAAGTCCCCATGAAATCAAAAGTAAAGTTTTTTGGGTGTTAGTATCAATATGTTAGTCTTAAGGTTATCTATAAGGCAGTGTGCTCCAAAACTGTGACAAAATTCGCATTTAGAAGATATAAGCATTCAAAGCTTGCAGTTCGTCACTTCCGCCAAAACAGCTCAACGATTTTTTTTTGACGTCACATCGTACTTCAGCTTCTCATCAAACTTTCTGTCCAATCAAATGCTCTCTAGAATCCGAAGTGCCCGCCCCCTACACTATAAAATAGACGCTGAAGCCACGGCTGAAATCGGTCACTTGTCCATAGAATTAATATTTTCTGTACAGTGAATGGCACGTAGTGCACTATACAGGGGACAGGGAACGATTCAAACAGTGTAAATATGCTTTCCATTGAGGAAAAAAAGAAGTCTGGTTTCGCGCTGTGTCACGCTAACCATGTGTCACACACTCTGCTCCGGTCCAGAGACACGATAGCACGGAGCGGATCACATGCGTGACCACAAAATGTATCGGAGCTATTCGAAATCTACACAGAATGCTATATTTTATAGCAATATGGATGAGATTGTGGCTGGCATACCTTCAGGGGACCTTTAAATAATAACATTAGCTTGCAGTGTTTAAAGCATTAACTAATTTGGGTTTCACCCAAATTTAAAGCATTTGGGTGACTTCACTAATTCACCCAAAAAATCAAATACTGTCATTATTTACTCACCTTCATGTCATTCATAACCCTTAAGCACCGTAAATGTATTATGTAAGTTGTCCATATTACTCACATGCTGTACTGTATTCCTAGTTTTATGAATCCATGCAGATTTTTGTGAGAAATAGATTAAAATTGAAAGGAATAGTTCTCCAAAAAAAAAGAAAATGCTGTCATCATTTACTCATCCTCATGTTTCAGAGTTGTGCAACTTGCATTCTTCTGTGGCGATATTTTGAAGATTATCTCATTGATTCCCAGTGATTCATGATTTGGTTCTCAAGTTCAACTCACTGACTCAATGATTGACTCAAGTTTGTCACACAAAGCTGCAGTATATGGCTTCGGTGCACAAGTTGTATAATTTTAGGTTACTTTAGAGGTGCCTTTTTTTCTTAACTTTGAATTCTTTAGTCATTGTTTATTGTAACTGCATGGACAAGAGCAACCAGCACAGTTTTCAGAACCTCTCCTTGTTGTGTTGCATGGGTTTCAAACTAAATGGGCCGAGTGTGATGATAGAAATGTTATTTTGGTGTAATCTATCTCTTTTCAATGCCTGCACATATTCTTGTAGTTCCAGTTGATTGTTCGGTTCGGCGTCCAGTGTTGCAAATCCCAAGGCTGAGAGATTATACCACTGATCTGGGAGAACAATCAATTAAGCTCTCACAGATTTACTATCAATAAACAGCATAGCTAGCAGCAAAACTTTCTGCTTCTGTTAAATAAAGCACCCTTCAAAAATGCAGATCTGTGCTATTCTCAGCCTCGTCTGTAATCGACTTCCAACATGGAAAAGGCCTGAGGAGCAGGGGAGAAGGCCAGAGAGAGGACTTTTTCCAAATCAAAGGCAGGTTTATGGAATGACTGTCAATGATTTCTTCCCTGCCAAGAGTTTCTGAAGCCTGATTTGTATTAGTGTACAGCTGTCTGAGCAACCGTTCAGACAGACATTCAGTGGAGTCGGCAGCGGTCACTGAACCATTGATTCAGGCGCCTAGGTGTGAGCTGATGGATGTCCTTGATTTCAAAAAGCAGAAATATATAGCAAAGAAAAGATGAACGAAAGTTCATCTTGGGCAGTATGCTTTGGCTGATTTAATTCTGTAGGCTTCATTTATTTGATCAAAAATACAGAAATAGCAATGATTTGTGAAATATTATTGAGATTTAAAATACTGGTTTGTTCCTGTAATGCAAAGCTGAATTTTTAAGCATCATTACTTCAGTCTTCAGTGTCTCATGCCCTTTCAGAAAGCATTCTAATATGCTGATTTTGTTATCAGTGTTGGAAACAATGATGAATTAAAAATAAAAAGAAGAGTGTTTCATGCAAAATAGAAATTGTGTCTAACAATTTAAGTTTTTCCTATCCTTTTTTATCACTTTAACACATCCTTTCTGAATAAAACATACTTTTTTCATAAATAAATACTGACCCCAAACTTTTGAACAGTATTTTATATTTTTACAAAAATTATATATATATATATATATATATATATATATATATATATATATATATATATAACGCTTTTAACGATGCATATATATATATATACAAAGTTTCAATGTTTCTGTATTTTTCATGAGGAAATTAGTGCTTTTATTGCTCATTAGTCTTTCTTCTTTACCTAAGAAAATGTAATATATTAAATATTTTTAATATTAGCAT